GTTCGTCACTCCGTCAATGAGTTGGTCACTCCGTCAATGAGTTCGCCACTCCGTCAATTAGTTCGTCACTCCGTCAATGAGTTCGCCACTCCGTCAATGAGTTCGCCACTACGTCACTTGGATGATTGACGGACTGAGGCCAATGACGGATTAAGCCAATGGCAATGAATGACGGAGCTACCGATTCATTGACGGAGAAACGGATGAATAAGGTGTGTATGCTTAAGGGCTACCTCATACGTCAGTACGTCAGTGAGTTCGTCACTCCGTCAATGAGTTCGTCACTCCGTCAATGAGTTCGCCACTACGTCAATGAGTTCGCCACTCCGTCAATGAGTTCGTCACTCCGTCAGTGAGTTCGCCACTACGTCAATGAGTTCGCCACTACGTCACTTGGATGATTGACAGACTGACGTCAATGACGGATTAAGCCAATGGCAATGAATGACGGAGCTACCGATTCATTGACGGAGTGACGGATGAATAAGGCGTGTATGCTGAAGGACTACCTCATACGTCAGTACGTCAGTGAGTTCGTCACTCCGTCAATGAGTTCGTCACTCCGCCAATGAGTTCGCCACTCCGTCAATGAGTTCGCCATTCCGTCAATGAGTTCGCCACTCCGTCACTTGGGTGATTGACGGACTGACGCCAATGACGGAGTGACGGAATCATTGATGGATGAATAAGGTGTGTATAAGCCCTGGATTATGTTATACGTAATTACGTCAATCCGTCACTGGGATGATTGGCGGACTGACGTCAATGACGGATTGAGCCAATAACGCAGTGATGGATGAATTAGCTGTGTATCAGCCCTGGACTACTTCATACGTCATTACGTCAATGAGTTCGCCACTGACAGACTGGCATATTCTTTCGTTTTATTTTAAGAAACGCTAGTATTCATCATTTTGTAAGGTAGCATCGACGTACGTCTTTCTAAAAATTTCGTTTTAATTTCGTTTTGTGATTATAATTCATTAATATTACTTTTTTTGTTCGGTAGCATTGACGATTGACGTTATGATGGAATCACTGACGTGAGTGGCGAACTCATTGACGGAGTGACGAACTCACTGACGGAGTGACGGGTGAGGTAGAATTAATTGAGCGTGGCTAGAGACACGATGTGTGTAATTATTCGACTATCCCGACAGATCATTCATTTTGAGACTTGGTAGGCTATGCACGAATTGAAAAAAAAGGTTTTCATGACGCTGGCTGCGATGAAAAGTTTGAATGTTCTTATCAAATGCGGCATTTCCGGGAGTATATCATACCTTAGTATCAGAAACGTGAATTTTTCAGGTAAATTAATCAGTAATAATGTAAGATTGAATATTCGTTGATGACGTCATGTGTATACAGTAGACTCAGTCATCCTACGCACAGCTCAACTTCGGGACTAGAATGCTGCTTCCCTCGTATATTAAACATAGATCAATAACAACCGAGTTTTCAAGAACAAGGGCAATAACTCATTAAATATTTTTATATTTGTATGATTTTCAAAAGGGTTAATCCTTGGATGTTTACAAACACTCACACCCAATTTTGTCAAAATCCACACAACGATAACAAAAAACAGAATAAAAAGAATGCCATGACTGACCCAGTAACAACGTGAGCAAGCTTTAGGAATGGTACGCATGGGGGCCACCCATGTCCACATCGCACAAACCTTCGGATATTCATGTGTTACAGGCAGACGGACAGAACAGATTACCACGTACCTTGCATCTCAAACCGCTTTCATCGGCGTTAGGTCATAAGGTTAATCGACAGACCGTATCAAAGTGGCTCCGAAGTCAAGGAATCAGTGCCAACAGACCGTACAGAGGACAGCCATTTGCAGTTCAAGGTTGGTATTCAGTGATAATAGCGTTGCGTTCAAGAGGTGGTATGAGGGAGTGTCATGGTATGAGAGAACTGTTGGCAGGAAAGGACTCAACTTATAGTAAACTTGCTAGCCCATGAATTCTTCGTCCGACAGTCTTACAATTTCTCCAACAACAGTCACATGGCATCATTTTTAATGCCTGACTACGCCAGACCCCTTACAGGCAGTATCATAACCAACTTCCTTGGAGTCAACGATATCAACGCGTTGCCGTGGCCTACATGTTTCCTCGACATGTCCTCCATAGAACAACTCTGTGGTATCATGGATCATCGTGTTCGTCGGCCAGTCAATCGACAAGAACTCATCCAGGCTCTCTAGGAGGAATGGCGGCCTACCATCATGTTTTAAATGTAGTTATAAGGACAAGGTCGTTTAAAACATGTTATTTATTTTTCAGATTTAAAATTCGACGTAAGGTTCCAAGTAAATAACAAAATTTACGTTTAAACTGTCGCCACTGTTTTAAATTGCAAGGTAATAGACAATATCTCTACACTCCCTTTATACGTTTTACTTTTAGTAGCGTGTACCCTGGAGAATTAGAAATCTAAATAGTCATGTATATCTTGTGGTAGGTAATCTTTGACAACATCCAGGGTGTATTTCATCAATAATTCTTGTTTCTCAGTATTCCTGGAAAATATTTCAACCAATTAAAATTTTCAATGTTTTATTAGTGTCTGCTAAATGGGATGTTTACTCCGACCAAAATCGATCATCCTCGGGTGGAATGGAAAACAATTAAACAAACTAGAGCCACACGTGGCACAGAGTGGGACTTTGCATATGTAGCAATTTGCTAAAGACCCTAAAAAAATCAACCGTCGACGATAATTAGGTCAAGCGCAAGAACATTCTAAAGTTGATAAATTTTTATTTTTTAGAAGATTCTAATACCGGAAGTAGACCTCACAAATAAAAGTATCAGCAGATAGCCAAGGTCAGTGACCTTTGATCTTGTAAAGGAGAAGGTCTAAAAAGGGCCAGATCACGAGATATAAGACATCAAATTTTCAAATTGCATACGGCTATAAAACCGGAAGTTGACATAGGACGGCAAATATTAAAGTATAAATAGATAGCCAATGCCAATGAAGTTTGATCCTACAAAAGTCAAGGTCAACAAAGGTCAAGGTCAAAAATTGAAAATTTTGAATTTTCCAAAACCTGTTCCCTTTTTTGAACTATGAAGCGGAAACAACCGAACTTCTAAGACAAAGTGGCTCAAAACATGAGGTAATTGTATGCAAAGTTCCATTTTGAACAATTGTATACTTTGCGAGTTATGCCCTTGGCCAAAAATGTCAATAATGAGTAATTTAACCCGGATGTGCCACGCCCACCTCATTTATTTGATATAAGTTAATTGATATTCAAAATGTTATGTCGTGTATCAAATGCCAAGGTTATACATAATACAAGTTAAAAGATATAGGTCAACAAAAGTCAACAAAGGTCAAAATCGAAAATTGAAAATATCAAAATGTTAAAACCCGTTCCTTTTTTGTAACTATAAAGCTGAAACAACTGAGCTGTTAACACAAACTGGCCAAACGGATGAGGTAATTGTGTGCAAAGTTCCTTTTTGAACAAATGCATTCTATGCAAGTTAAGCCCCTTCGCAAAAATGTAAACATTTAGTAATTCAACCCGGATGTGCCACGCCCACATCAATTTTTTTGTCATAGGTGAATTTATATTCAAAGTGTGTAGATGTATTCCAAATTTCAAGGTTCTACATCAAATAGGTCATAAATTATACATACACCAAGCTCAAAGAGACACAAATATTGTAAAAAAAACCCCTCAAATTGAAAAAAAAGAACGAATTTCAATTTTGCTGTAAAAAAACGATTGTTATATATCAATGTAAGGTGCATGAGAAGCACATTAGGAAACCGAAGAAATTAATCCTCTAGGTTAATTATGTCACGTGCTACAGCAGTCCAAAGTTGCGAATTTTTTTTTTTCGGACAGCTATAAAACCGGAAGTACATGTCGGAGGTCAAATGTCAAATTGTCAATGACCTTGGACCCTATAAAGGTCAAGGTCATCAAAGGTCAAGGTCACGAGATATCACTCACCAAACTTTCAAAATGCATACGACTACAAAACCGGAAGCTTACGTCCGACATCAAATATGAAAGTATAAATAGATAACCAAGGTTAATGACCATTGACCCTACAAACGTTAAGGTCATCAAAGGTCAATGTCAAAAAATAAAAATATGGAAATTCTAAAACCCGTTTCCTTTTTTGAACTATAAATCTGAAACAAGTGTCCTTTAAACACAATTTGGCTAAAGAGATGAGGTATTTGTGTGCAAAGTCCCTTATTGAACAAATGTAGACTATGCAAGTTATGCCCCTGCCCCAGATTTGAACAACTAGCAATTTTACCCGGATGTGCCACGCCCACCTGAACTTTTTTGTCATGCTTTAATTCATTTTCAAAATGTCTAGAAGTGTTCAAAATTTCAAACTTCTACATCAAATAGGTCAAAAGATATACATACACTAAGCTCAAAGAGACAAAAATATTGTAAAAAACACTCAAATATCTAAAAAGTACGAATTTCAATTTTGCTTTTAAAAACTTTTGTGATATATCGTTAGAAAGAGTATGACGAGCACATTAAGAATCCGAAAAAATTAACCCTCTAGGATAATTAGGTCACGTGCTAGAGCAGTCCAAATTCGCGAATTTGGCTGTTTTTGGACATCAATAAAAACGTTAGTAGATGTCGGAGGTCGAATATGAAAGTATCAGCTGATAGCCAAGGTCAATGACCTTTGACCCAATGAAGGTCAAGGTCATCAAAGGTCTAGGTCATGAGATATGAGCCTTCAAACTTCGAAAAAATTCAATCGGAAATTACAAAAAAAAGAAAAAACTAAATTCAAAAATCGGCTCCCACAGTTTTTTTTTAATTTTTATTTTCTTTCATTTGACACCAAAATCATCAAAATCGGATAAGCCGTTATCTCTGAATAGATTCTGACGCATTTCAGAAAAATCAAAATGGCGACCAAAGTATTACCTTCGGACCGGATTTTATATTCTTCGTTTTTTGTCATAACTTTGGCTATCGATTCATATAAGTTTCATCGCGCTAAATTGATTACACCGGAAATAGTTCAACCGGCAGTGAGAATCGATTTTCCGTTTAAACCGGAAGTAAAGTAAAAAATTTGACTATACTACTATGTTCACGTTCATGAATTGTCTTTGCTCAATTTTTTTTAGATTAATCAGACAAAAAGCTAAAAAGTTTTTTTTTTTGTTAAAAAATTGCAAAATTCGGCCGAAAAAGTGTGCGACAAATTTTCCAATTTCGAATTTGTTTAAGTGCTATTATATCAGAAATTACACGTAGATTCCAGAAATAAAAACCCGAAGAAAATAGACCGGAAAATGCGTCTTTTAGGTCCGATTTCTACTTTTTGGATATATTGGACTGTGGCATTTTCGGTTTTGCAAAAATGTTCCAATTTATATTTATGCAACATGTTGCCACTACAGAAGGTCTAGGAAAGTTGAATAGTTGCTGCAACTAATGCAGTCTAAGCTCAGGAAGGTGTGTAAATTTCGAAAAAAAAAGGAATAGACATTTCGATAACAAACAAAGCAAAGTCCCACAAATAATACATTGACACGATACTGGTGGAAGTCGAGAATAAATAGACTAATAAGCGCCCACGTTTTATAGAGATAAGTAGTATATGAGGTTATAGATAGGGGGCACCTTTTATAATTTTTTAAAAAAAAAATCACAAAGGGCATTAATCATTAAACTCTTGAAAGCAAAGATGAAAATGGGAATAGCAGATGAAATACACAAAGAATTTAGAAAAAAAACAAACAATTTTTAACTGATTAATGGGAGGTAACACTGTTTTTTGTTTACTTCAAAGTAAAATACCAACCAGTTTACTAGTTATTGATTTATTATAGACTGAAAAAAACTCACACTATAATTACCTTTAACGTCTAGTAACAGTCAGACAGACTATTATTGACTGGATATGCGTGACTAAGTAACAGACGGTTATATTAACATATAACATACCACGCGCGCCACGTCGGCATAGACAGACTAAACTCTCAACTATTAACACTGTCTCAATTTTGTTACGCTGGAAGATTAGCAATTTAATCATACAAAATCAAAGTATGTTCTTTGTTTAATTTAATCATAAGACGAGAGGGTGGAATTAAGATGATATGTTACTTGTTGTTTTTCAAAATCAATTTTGTTCTATTCCAGACACAAGTTTAATAGATGTCAACATTTCATATCACGAAGAATATTTAAACCACCACAGGCAGTGGGGGATGTGAAAAGGCCAAGAATTTTACCAAACTCTGTGACAAATATCCGAGGTTTCAAAATTGTTGATACAGATTTCGAAAATAGAACAAGTGCTGAAGAACGTGAGACGTATATCTATGACTGGCGATAGTGTAAGAGGGGAGATAACTCTGAAGTATATTAAGCGATTCTATAGGAGCGGTCATGACCCTTGACCCTTGAACTGTGGCTGGTAAGAGGGTAGATAACTCTGCAGTATATCTAGCGATTCTATAGGAGCGGTCGTGACCCTTGAACTATGACTGGCAATACTGTAAGAGGGGAGATAACTCTGAAGTATATCTAGTAGAAGTGTATATCGATATACATGTAATTGTTTATGTTTTAAATTTCCTTATATTTATTAAAACTTACTTTGGTTTTTTGTTATTCTTCCTGTATTTCCATGGGGGTAAATGGTTTCAAATAATAGGGTAAAACCTATCTTTAAAAATGGCAGAAAAAAATTACAGATTCGATCCGATCTTTCAATCATATGATCCAATTCGTTATTCGTTTAATAAGAAAAAAGAGGATTACATTATCATATCACCAACCGGAGGCTCTAGGTCTCAACTAAATGATGGGGGTAGGGTCACTTTCGAGATTAATTCATTATCGAATTTGTTGCTCCTGTCTGATGCCTATTTCAGATGCGATTTCAAAATCAAAGACGGAACTCCCAATGAGAATCGTGTACCACAAACCAACACATCGTTAGAAAACAATTTCTTCCCAACTCTATTTACTGAAATGGTTTAGGAAGCTGGTTCAAATCCCATAGAAACCATTAAACACCCTGGGGAATTTGACACAATGTTGAAAACAGTTCTATATCCCAAAAACTACGATTCAGTCTCAGGCTGGATACCTGATGTTGGTGATGGAAGAGTTTTAAAATAACCGGTAAGAAATGTTTCAAATGATGCAAATGAAGATAGAATTAGAGTTATTGCTCAATATAAAGAGTAGGACGAGCAGGTAATCATGGATTGGGAAAACGAGTGCTTCAGTACAAAAAAATGAAAATGAAATGAATGGAGTTTTAGGTCCTACTCTTCTGCACCTTGTGGGATAATGAAGACAGGCAACGCCATGCAGGGTGCCATGAGGGAAATTTTGTCAGGACAGCGGCATTAGCCTGCTCTTTTTCGATTTCCAACTGTCGAGGGATCTTTAACGTGCACAGCCTATAGCACACGGGGCCCCGGTTTATTGTCCCATCCGAACGACTTGACGCTTTTCCCATGTCAGCCCCTCTTACCTGCATCACTGACAGGGGGAAACCGGGTTGAAAAATCCGAAGGTATTATCAAGACCTATGCCGGGATTGGACCCTGGACTTTCAGGTTAGCGAGCAAGCGTCTAACTCACTGAGCCACCGCGGCTCCCTGAGTGCTTCAGTACAATAATGTTGTTGAGAATAATAGGTTTGGTAATTACGTAAATTGGAACTTATATCGGTCTGTTGGAACACAGAAAAGTTTCCATAGGGTTACCATATAAAATTCATCTACAAAGAGAAATCAATGATGATAAGATATTCTTTGGAGAGAATGCTTCAGATGCAACTTTACATACCCGTAATAACATCAATTGAAGTAGAAACGAGAATATTCAACTCATTAACTAAAGATATTGAAATAGCATTTCTTCTTCGTAATACAATAGGTAGCATAACTTTAACTGGAGAATCCACAACATGGCCAATCACTAACACTATTAAACCAGCAAGATATTTAATGGTTGGTTTCAAGAACTTACCAGATTCTCAAACGAATAACAATAATATCTTTAGAGTAGCAATGAACCAAACTCAAGATCCTATAATCCGTAAAGTTCGAGTAAGAATAAACAATGATAATTATCCTAACCAACCTTTAACAATTAATCCAACCACAAAGGATTATAATGAATTGTATAGAAACTATAAAAATATGTGTGAATTATTTGGAAATTCACCTGTTTGAATATGTAGATTTTGCAATTAATCACTCAATCTTCTATTTTGATCTATCAGCTCATCAAGAAGATCTTTTCAAAACGGGAGTAAATATAAATATTCATATTGAAAAACAAAAAGGAGATGTAACAGGTTATTGTTTATTATTGGAAGAAGCAAAACAGTTCATTAAAATATCCGACAGACGGATGATTCGTATAAAATAATCTTAAAAATGAAACCAGAAACTTTAGTAAAAAGAATAATAGAATCTATCGAAACGGAATCACCAACTACAATAACTTACAATGGTAAAAGGATTAAAATATCTAAAAACATTATTGATAAATATAAACATTGTAAAGTTAGAGATGATATAGATTTGGAAAGAATTGACAAGAGTGTAAAGGAAGGTGGATTTTTACCTTTCCTACCTTTGATATTTGCTCGTCTGGCCGCGGCTTGTGCAGCAACTGGTGGGATATCTGCCGCAGTCAAAGCTGCCAACGCCAAGAAAGCAGCTGATGCTGAAAAAGTGAAAAACGTAGACATAATATGGAAATGGAAAAAATAGCTCAAGGTTTAGGAGTAGCGGATATATTAGGGACAGTTAAAGAATTTGGGAATCGATTTAGTGAAGAAACCAAGAAAACTGTTAAAGAGGGATTAAGTATCTAATAGATAAAATCGACACTGGAGAAATGAAGGTGAAACATAAGGGGAATGCCATAGTTTTTTAAAACATACGTTCTAGAGAGGGAATCTTTCTTTCAAAGTATAAAGGAGAAGGGGTGATTTTTGGAACAAAAATATAGAATGAAAAATGGGCAGAAAATTTAATCATTCAGAAATATTTCCAAGTAACCCCATGCTTATGTGTATTTGTGGAAGCTCGGGTTCTGGGAAAACATATTTGACATTTAACATGTTGACAACACCAAAACTTTTAGATTTCGATTCATTATATATCTACAAAACAACACCAGAGCAATCGTATTATCAATTCCTCAAAGCTTTAGAATATTTACCAAAGAAAGATGTTCAAGAAATAAATATTATGAAGACAACAATGAGATAGAAATAAAAGATATCTTAGATACATATATAAAAGAAAAGAATCCATCTATCAATCCAACAGACATAAAAGTTTTTCTTACGAAAAATGTTAATGATTAAGATTTGTCTAAAATTGATAGTGAGCGAAAGAACTTAATAGTGTTTGACGACTGTGTAGCACAAAGAAATCAAGTTGTTCAACAAGAATTCTTCACGAAGGGAAGACATCACAACTGTCACTGTATTTACCAATCCCAATCTTTCTATGGTATGGATGCAATGTTCATTCGAAAAAATGCAAATTGTTTTTTATTATTCGAATTGAACGACAAAGATTTATCTAAAATTATTCAGTCAATTAATCACGGAATGGATAGAGATAAAGCACAATGGAGAAACCCAGATGATCATTGATATGTATTCGTTAATAACCTGCAGGTGAAAGAGTTATGACAAATATATGTTAATTTCATTTCTTTAAAAATGGGTGATTGGAATAATAAAAAGAAACAGACAGTATATCAAAGCTAAGAATAAAATATAGACTCAAGTTGAAAATAACAAATTACAACAACTTGGATTAACAGAAAATCTAAAAACTCTATTTCAACCAATATTAAAAAGTCAAGAAGATATTAAAAAGAGACTCGCGCCTCGTGTAGAACCTTTACCCCATAAAGATCCCCAAAACCGATGCTGAAGACAATCCAATCATACAAGAAACAGACGAATTCGAAGATATGGTATCTGGACAAGACATAACGTTTTTATCCGATAATAAGGAAGAATTGCTTACAAATAATATTAGCAGCAATGAAGGAAGGTCATCGTTCAGACAGGCAATATCATGAAGTAAATTGTATATTAAAAAGACTCCTCGAGAAAGGTATCATAGATAAAAATGATTATAAAAACGTAATTGATAAAATTATCCAACAAAAATAGTCATTGAAAAAATGCCAAATAAAGAACTATTATTCGTTATCACCTCAAATAAATCAGACATTAAATTGTCTCTAGATTATGAGTATGAACTCGATCGCAATGAAGAATATGAATTGGGATTAAAATATTTTTCTGATTACAATTCCATTCGAAATATCAACGAAAATAATAACCAAATGAAAATATCAACAGATAACTGAGCTGCATTCAAAATCATAAGTTTACTACCAGGAAGCTATAAACGAATATCTATCTGAATATGGAGGAAGTGCAAATGGTAAAAACAATAATGAATTCGAAGGTAATTTGAATATGAACAAAATAAAATTGATATTGAGAAATAAGAGTCGAGTTGATTTTAACGTAGAAAATTCTTTGAATACTTTATTAAGATTTGATAAGCAAATATACACACAATCCACTTTAGCACCACACAAAGGTAATATCGAAAATGATATCGACGTCATTAATATTCACTGTAATTTAATAAACGGTGGATTTTTCAATAAACACAAACGTCAGATTATTTACAGTATTCCAACATTCACTGTACCGATTGGATATAGAATTATAGAGAAACCATTTCAAACAACATATTTACCACTTAATTCGTTCATGGTTAAAAATATAAATCTGGAAATCAAAGATGGTAAAAATAGGTTTATTGACTTTGGTAACGAGGAAATTGTTATTCAACTTCATTTAAAACAAAAGTTATTGAGTAATTAATCACTCGTCTTTCGCTTCTTCAATACATAGGTAATCGAAATCATCAAATTCATAGTTTTCATCAAAACTATACTCATCTTTATCACTATAAGGATACATAATTCCTTCACTGTTTGGTGGTTTTCTCTTTACAAGATTCAAATAACTTCTAAAAACTTTCTTTTGTTTATCATCAACCTTTGGAATAACTATTCCATTCGTGAAACTTTTTTCCCACTATTTTATTAAATTCATTCGACACATCATGTCCACTAGTCAGCCGAATATAATCTTCTACGCCTGTCTTATCATTAGAATAACCCTTAAACGTTTTCTTTCTTTTAAAACACCATTAGAAGTTAGAATGATATTATATTTGACTTTTGGCGCTAAATATAAACCAAATATGATTCCACCATCACCGTAATCATTCTTGCCTTTACAATATTCATTTTCAGATACCAACCCAGCTCGATTTAATTTATCCCAATTTCTAGATGAAATGTATAAACTATCAGTATCGGTATAGTATATTTCAGGTTTATAAAATCCATTTATTACATGACTGAAATTATTCCTTATTTTTTTACTGTGAGATAAAACAATGATCCCAAATGACTAGGTGTTAGTCCTGTAGATTTAGTTGAGTGATCTTCAGTACTAATCTCTTTTTCTTCAATTTCTATCTCAACGAAATATTGAGTATCATTTATTTTTTCATAGATTTTAACATATGAGTCGAATTTAGCCTGAAAAGTTTCTTCATTCCACAAATGATTAGTCGTTGTTCTATCCTTCTGAATAGATTTACCATACAAGGAATTACCTAATAATTTCATGCAAGTACTACCCACAATATTACCTTCTCGTTTATATTTATTTCTAAGATCTCTCAAAAAAATAAAATATAATCTCTATATGGAGGAGTTTTAAAATTTTCTTCGTATACTATCCCATCTAATATCCTGAGTATCTTACCACCGGCTTTAACTATTTCTTGAATATCGACCGATGTTAAAAAGAAACCATTTCTAAACCCATGTTCTAGGTCTAAATTTTTGTTCATTGAAGAGTTTTACAAATTCTTTATTTTCTTCTGGTAGAAACGGTCTAGCGCTTTCCGCTTTTGGATATTCACTGTCTAAATCTGACATGGCTGAAGCGTACAAACCGATAGCATCAAATGCCATTAGTTTATTACAGTTTATTTTTTTAAGTTTTGAATTAACTTCTGTTTTGTCTTTTGTGCTTGCGCTGTATTCTTTGAATAAATCATATTATCTCTTCTTGAATTTTCACTTCGTGTTTCACTTTGTGAAATAAATTCCTTTAATACATTACAAATTTCATCCATTTTGTTCGTTTCAAATATCTTTCTATTTGCCGAAACTCTTCCTCCTTTAATAGATCGTCTGATATAATGTCTTATAAAAGGATTAGTGTGTGAATAAACTTTTTCTATATTTTCTTTTCAGTATGTTTCGGAACCATTCTAGTAGTTTCATACCATTCTTCTTCAATCATTTCTTTATCGTAATGATATAAATAATACCAACCCTTAAAAGATAAAGCTGGAGCCGTTAGATTTTGGACATATTTTACAACTTCTTTCGTGACTTGGTTATATTTTATCAAACAAGATCCAAGACATAGGCTATCTCTTTTTGCATATGGTTCCCATTCGTGTCTTAAAGATTCCCAATTATCTTCGGTATATTTTACAATGTCTACATCCTCGATCTTTCTCAAATTCACTGGTATATTAGATGATTTTCCCCATTCCGCCAAACTAGATTTTTCATGTTGATAGGAACATGTGAAATTAATATGTTGTAAATCATTCTTATTGCTTGTTATTTCTTTCTGTCTTTTCCATTTTTTCTGTAAATCTTCATCTGTGTATGGATTAGATAAAGGTAAAGATAGAATTCCTCTGGGTGTTTTTAAAGGACAATGCGTTAGTTTTTCTTATATTTTTAAGCACGATCCAGTTATCAAAACCGTTACCGTTATGAGAAATTAATGTTATTCTCTTTCTATCATATTGACCTAAATATTTCAACATTTGATCTATACAATCTGTTCCATACAAATATATCTACTATATTCATTAGTATATCAAAAAATTCTTCTGGAACATTATCTGTAGGATTTAAATCTGGAAAGAGATTATTTATTCTGTCTAACATTTTTCTTAGTTTTTCTAAATTAATCAAGGTACACGCATAAGGTATTGTTTTACGCGTTTCACTTTCTGAATATGTTTTACAATCCCAAGCAAATAACCAACATCACTCATACTTGAAAACACGCTTAGTTTCAGAGGTGAAACCTGTGTTACTGCGGTATCGTCTCTACACGTTTTCCATTCTTGTTCATAATTATCTTCTATTTCTTTTATTCCCAAACTTTTTTTTATTTCTTCTTATAAGACAGAAATGTGAGTTGTGTAAATATAAAACCCAATCTAATTCCTCTTTTTCAATTGTGGGCCGCAAATTTCTATTATTATGAGTATAAATTTGAAATGAAGTATCACATTTCTTATTGAATTCATTAATTCTAGCAGATGTCACCACTCCTTTTCTATTTGCTTTTGAGAAACTATTGATGAAATTTTGATATTCATTTGTTAAATCTGTGTTTAAAACATAATTTACACATTTGATAAAACAGTTACCATTGGTATGTAACAATTTTCACCTTTATATTCATTTATTTTTTTGAGTAGTTCAGTTCTTCTTCCAACTATTGATCTTTTAATTTCTTTAAAATTGTCTGAAAATAGTATGAAAAGTTTTGGCATTTAAACCAAGAAGTTTCATAAATTGTTTGTGCTTTCCATCTTGAAATATCTCTCCATCTATTTCAATTTGTCCTTTAAATGTTAAAAATTCATCAGAAATAATCTTGATAATATTTGAAAATAACACGTTTTCTATGAATGTTTCATCATCATTAATTTCAATTGATTTATTCATATTTTTTATATATGCTTTTTAATTATCTATTTTTTTAAGTATTTTTTTTTACTTTTATTGCTGATATTTCTATCTCAAATTCATCTAGAATTTCATTGAATTTTTCTAGTTCTTCTATTGTTATTTTCTTATCTTCTCTTGATCTTTCGAAAAATATAAATAATTTATTAAAATAGGCATTTAAGATTTCTGTTTTCTTTTTATAACCTATAGCAATCAACCCACAAGATGAAGTTTGAATGGCAGTAATTGTTGCTTTTACAGTTGGGACAAGTACTGGAATCTTAATATCTATACCTCCTCCTATTATTTTTCGTTTATCTGTTATCATTACTTCGGGTGTATAAATAGTAACTTTTACAGATACTAATGATATTTCTTCTTTCGAATCATTAATCTTATTCAAATGAACTGTAAATTTTTCAATATTAATCTCTATACTACATCTACAAGTATATATACCACCAACTTCTTTATTACTATCTCCTTCATGACGTTCAATTATTGATGAAAATAATATAAATTCTTTATCTTGTTGACTTTTGTGAATATCAATTGAGGTAAATAAATCAGGTTTTACATATTCAAAGTCTAATCTTCTTAAAAACGTATAAATCTTTATTGTGTGTGGTTTTTGTGGAGTTGGATTTCTAATAATGTTCATCGATGGTGAGCTTTCCGTCTTTAATATCATATCAAAATCACCTATTGTCATTGTCTGGTATTATTGACAATCTAAAGGTGTCTATATATTTTCCATTTGTTTTAATATCATACATATGATTAGGCTTGTTGTTTTCATCATTAACTTCCAAATCTTTATTTTCAACATATTCACCATCTTTGATAAATTCGAAAATCTTACGAGCGTTAAAATAGTTAGATGGATGAGAGAAGAAGATTGAATCGATTTTAACTTTTACAGGAAAAAGAATTTCAATTAGAGATTTACCTCGGAAATTAAAGTTTCCTGAATCATCAAATATGTTTCTAAACGTTTCCACTTATATATGAAAATACTTTTATTTTTAATATAAATCCATATCCTTCCAACTGATATGTTGTTTCACCTGTAGGAATACGCTCAGTATTTCTCACACGGAAGATTGAAATAATATGATTGTTTATTTTCCTTGATATGTTTTTCTAATGCGGCTATATTTTTTCCCTGTTTTAAAACTTCGTTATTAATAGTAGTTATCTGTTGTTGAATCTCACTATCATAAATATTTTGTATCAGTTGATTAATATTTGTTACTTCTTTTTGTAATTCAGTTTTAAATTTAGTTTCTAGAGCAGTTGATTGCTGTTGCCATTTGTCTTCACTTATACCTGGTTTAATATTATCTATTAATTGTTTAAGATCTATTTTTTGTTTTTTAATCTTATCATTTAAATTAGATATTAATGAACTTAAACTTTGTAACTGAGTTTTATCTACTACATTTAGAAGTTGTTGTTTAATAGCATCTATTTCACTATTATCATTGAGTTTGGTTTCTAATTCAGTTAATTTTTCTTCACTTATGCCTGGTTTAATATTATCTATTAACTGCTTAAGATTTATTTTTAGCTTTGTAACCTTATCATTTAAATTAGATATTAATGATTTTACATTTTGTAATTGAGTTTTATCTACTACATTTAGAAGTTGATGTTTAATCGCATCTATTTCACTATTATCATTGAGTTTGGTTTCTAATTCAGTTAATTTTTCTTCACTTATATCTGGTTTAATATTATCTATTAATTGTTTAAGACCATTTTTTGTTTTTTAATCTTATCATTTAAATTAGATATTAATGAACTTATAACTTTGTAACTGAGTTTTATCTACTACATTTAGAAGTTGTTGTTTAATAGAATCTATTTCACTATTATCATTGAGTTTGGTTTCTAATTAAGTTAATTTTTCTTCACTTATACCTGGTTTAATATTATCTATTAATTGTTTAAGATCTATTTTTTGTTTTTTAATCTTATCATCTAAATTAGATATTAATGAACTTATAACTTTGTAACTGAGTTTTATCTACTACATTTAGAAGTTGTTGTTTAATAGCATCTATTTCACTATTATCATTGAGTTTGGTTTCTAATTCAGTTAATTTTTCTTCACTTATATCTGGTTTAATATTATCTATTAACTGCTTAAGATCTATTTTTTGCTTTGTAACCTTATCATTTAAATTAGATATCAATGATTTTACATTTTGTAATTGAGTTTTATCTACTACATTTAGAAGTTGTTGTTTAATATTTCACTATTATCATTGAGTTTGGTTTCTAATTCAGTTAATTTTCTTCACTTATACCCGGTTTAATATTTTCTATTAATTGTTTAAGGTCCATATTTTGTTTTGTAACCTTATCATCTAAATTAGATATTAATGAACTTAAACTGAGTTTTATCCACTAGATTGTCTAATTGTTGATGAATGGTGACTATTTCACTATTATCATTGAGTTTGGTTTCTGATACGGCTAATTCATCTTCATTCATGCCTGGAATAATATTATTTATTAGTTGTTTAAGATCTATTTTTTGCTTTACTATCTTATCATCTAATTTAGTTAGTAATGATTTTAAATGCGTTTTTGACTGATAAACCTGTTTTGTTTTTGAGAGGAATAACCCAAGTATATCTTGTGTACAAATCTATAACGGTTAAACAATATTCATATCCTCTATCGACAGGCATATTAATTAAATCTGCTGACCATATTTCATCTTTATCAAACACTCTGACTTTTAAAAAAAATTTTTTTTTCTAAATTCTTTAAGAATTTCATCTGCTATTCTCATACCCATTTCCATCTTTGCTTTCAAGAGTTTAATTATTAATGCTCTTTGAAAGTTGGATTTGGAATAGATTCTAATTCGTGAATCATTTGTTTGTCTGCTTCGTGTCTGGATGTTATGTCTTTATTTCTGTATAGTATGTCGTGTTTAAGTGCAGCGGCGTCAACTCTATTGACGGGTTTTTCACCCGGATGGGTTTATCATTTTGGTCTAGTCGTAGATCTAACCTTGTACCTGGACCAGTATAATTATGACCCAGAAGATGTTTTTCTCCGGGGTATTTTGCCCATGGAAATCCAAGAAGAGAACCTAATGATTTTTGAATGTCAGAACCGAAATAAGTTTTAGGAATTTTTAAGCAATTACCATTGACATTTTTATCCAATAATTTTAAAACCATTGCCTTTTTGTTTTCTAATCTTTTATTTCGCATTTCTCTTATATGTTGTAATTCTTTCAACTCTTTAGATCTTTTCACTGCTTCGCTTATATTTACTCTTGCTTTTGCTACAGATCATGCGCTCCTGAGGAAATGAGGGATTTGTTGTTTGAGACAAAGTTGGCTACATTTGGGATGAGAGATGATAGAGCTGAGAAGAAACCATCTCCTTCGAATTTGTTTTGTTCGTGTTTTAAAATCAAACTCATTCTGTTTTTAAATGAGTTAATTTGAAGATATTATAGGGCTGGGCGCTTGGGGGCTTGGTAAACGAGTACCCCTATGGGCTCCGGGTTTATTAATCGCGTGCCTGGTGGGGGTTGCTTGTTTGGTGGGCTTGGGGCGCCGCAGGCAAAAGAGTAGTATATGAGGTTATAGATGGGGGCACCTTTTATAATTAAAAAAAATCGCTTTTTGACGTTAGTAAAAAAGTGATTTTTTTTAAATTATAAAAGGTGCCCCCTATCTATAACCTCATATACTACTGAGATTCTCTCATGGAGCAGTTTTTCACCAACCTGGATAGACTTGATGGAGATTTAATTTTACATAAATCAAGATAAATATCTGATTGACCTTGTAAATTTGGGTCTACTGCAGCTTTTATAGTTGTAGCACCACCATCAACAGCCTTTTTGGCAAAACCTGAATGAAAAAGTATCCTTTTATCAAAATAACCACCTATGTAATGTAATGTACCGAATGAACAATATCAGGGATACCTGCACATGCATGACGGTGTTCCAAAATAGTTAGCATGAACTCAACATTGTTGAAGTATCCTAGATTATCACAGCCGAAATATTTTTCATTATTCTTGAAAAATAATTGATTAAAATGATAGTTTCAAGAATGAACTGTATGACAATATTTTCCACCAGCAGACACATCATAGAATACATGTGTCAAATACAGATTGAGAATAGACTATACTATAAATCTACTAAATAACAAACTAACCACTCTAGATGACCACATGATGATTTATATGTCTTCAGACAGTCTTACCTGATACGAAATACTTAGAATATATATTCTGCCGGGTCATTTGGGTATCAACAAAACCTGGATGTAAACTTATTATAGAAACTGATTTATCTTTTAAATGTCTGTTTAACCAAAACATTGACATAACCTTTAGAAAAGAAACAAAAATCAATGCCTTCTTTTTCTTCGAAGGAAGTTTTTCTGAAGGATAGCCTGGTAGACTATGAGACCAAATGCTTTTCAAGGACTGCTAACAACTAGCGATTCGAGGAGAATCTGGTCAATCACCACATGGAGTCAACCCGATGCACACCGACTGCTTTTGCCGCCAGATGCCATTAGTTGTCAATGTTACACTTTTTTAACAGAAATTGGATCTGGTTTATACCTGAGCGGTTGGAGTTGTCGACCATTCGGTTGATCGTAAGTAATTGATTTGATGAAATGCTGTCAATCGTTAGTTGACTTGAGCTATTGTTTAAGTTTGACCTACACATTGATGTGAATAAAATGATTACCTGATAAAGTTTAGTATTGGCAATAGAAGGACAATTGACCAAAGCTCTTTTCTCCATCCATGTTTTCTATATCAAGTTTTCCATTCATATGCCCAAGAGACGAAACATTAACCACCCTACTGTCTTCACCACATTTCAGTAAAATGGGTAATAAATGTACAGTTATAATGAAATGAGATAGAAAATTGACTTGTAACATCAACTCGTGGTTATCTTCTGTAATTTCTTCAAAGGAAAATAAATAACATGTTGTTGGTTGGCACAAAATAAAAAAAAGAGTAGTTTTGTAAAGTTGTGCTACAATATTAAACAAGTAGTTGACCTGCAAGATAAGCCCACTTCTTTGATAAATCGTCAATCTGTGTCAAATCGTACCAAAAATCTATCTTGTCCAAGATACTGTTAACTTAAACACAAAATTTCATTCTGATTCTGTATTCTGCCTTAAAATGTCATCTGTTTAGCATTCACAAGCAACATTTAACATAATTTTTGTTTATCATTAAAATCAGATAAAAAAAACTGTCGTCTGTATTGTGTTCATGAACAAATTTTGGTGCATTTTACTAAGTCAAGGGCGATAAGTTTATCAAAAAATCGTCAAATTTGAACTTGATCAAGATCTCATTGTTACAAATGATCACACTAAATTTCATTAAAATCAGATGAAAACTGTAGTTTCTATAATGTTCATAAACGCGTGTTTACTACGTCAAGGGCAATAACTTCGCACCTGATCAGGATCTCATTATTATAAATGATAACAGCGAATTTCAATAAAATCGGATTTAAACTCCATCGTGTCCACAAACAAATTTTGACATGTTTTTAATAAGTAAAACGGATACAACCGTTCATCAAAATTATCACACCAAAATCAGATGAAAACTGTATCTTGCATTGTGTTCAAAAACAAATTTTGGCGCGTTTTTACCAAGTCAAGGGCAATAACTAAAGGACAGTTTATCGAAAAATCAAATTCCAACTTGACCAAGATCTCATCAATATAACAGATCACCCCAAATTTCATAACAAAAATCAGATAAAAACTGTAGCCTCTATTGTGTTCACAAGCCAATTGTAGACGGTCGGATCGCTGGACGGACAGGGGCGAAGACAATATACGACCACATTATAATGTGGCCCTATAAAAACCAATTGTTCTTTAAATAATTATATGTTCCATAGAAAAATTCCCTGTGAAACCCGTCCTGGATAACCTCTATCTTAAATACTATCAGAGGCCAAATACTACAGCGTTGAAAAGAAAACTAAACACTGATCTGGTAACAGAAAAAACCAAAAAAATCTGAACTTCGTCTGCTTAAGGCCAATGGTTCTTCGTATAATTTACAGCAGCAAGTGGCATTTTATCATACATTTTGCGTAATATAACTGCACGAGAGTGTGAATTGCTGTGCTCATTTAGATAGATAATCTCTATCAATATATTATATGTACATCTTCATGTATCTATTACTTTCCTTACCCTTGTCAGTTACAACTCCTGCATTACAAATCAAAACATCTAAAGCACAATTTCGAGCTTTGAACGTTTCTATGAAGCGTTGGGTAGATGCAAATGATGCCAAATCTAATTCCATTTTCTCAATGTTTAACTTCTTAAGTTCTGAAATATCAGCTGGGGACTGTTTCGATGTTAAATGTTCTTCATATTCTTCTTGCATTCGTTTTATGGCCTGAAAAAATTAAGCCGATCATTAATGGACGGGAAAACAGTCATAATTAAAGACAATGCACATTTGTCTAAGTCAACTGTAAAATGATCTATGACAAATGTTTCAAGTGAAAATTTCTTTCACGCAACAGACATTTTGCATGCAATACCCAAGTTGTGACACTTAACAAATATCATTTCTTAAAATACAATAGTTTTATGCTATTTTCAATAATGAAAAAGCCAAAATGCGCAAGACTAATGATAAGATAGCTTGCCAGGCAAGGTAACATAAGCCCACTACCCACTGTCAGAAATAATATCAAAGTCTTTGGTGACTTATTAATGAATTTTTAAAGTTTGAAATAATCTTAAAAATATTTATAAGTCAAGGTAAAACCTCAAATATTATCATCGAAATTCAAGCATGAACAAGGCCTTATCGACGTACACACAAGGACATTTACTTTGAAACTATTCATCGGATTAATGCCAATTTCGAACTCCAATGCAATGCATACCAAGTTTCATTAAGATCGGTTAAAACCTGTATCCTTTAGTGCCTACAAGCCAAATTTGACGTGTTTACATTAAGTCAAGGGCAAAAACTTCAACACCGATCATCCAATTAATACAAATTTCGAACTTGACTGAGTTCTCATCAATATTTACATGCATACTAAGATTCATCAAGATCCTTTATTGTATTTACAAGCCAAATTTAACGCGTTTTTACAAAGTCAAGGGCAATAACTCTGAAACCGATCTGTCGATTATTACCAGTTTCGATCCTGACCAGGATTTCATCAATTTATACATGCAAACCAAGTTTCAGCAAGATCAAACAAAAACTAGTCTCTATCGTGCCTACAAGCCAAATTAGAAGTATTTTTACTAAGTCAAGGGCAATAACTCTGAAACCGTTTATCTGATTATTACCATTTTCGAACTTGATCAAGATCCCATACATTGCATACCATGTTCATCCAGATTGAATAAAAACTGTAGCCTTTATCGTGCATACAAGACATGTGGACGGACGGGCCGCCGGACCGACGGACAGGCGGACAGACAGGGGCGACGACAATATACATCCACATTTCCACGTGGGCGTATAAAAATCCAAAAGTCAGTGAAAAAGACATGACACGAAACGTCTTTTGTTTTACACTTGCCATTTGGTTACTTTAGGTCATGTCTGGAAACGCGATCTTGTCTAAACTGGCCAAACTGATCGCCATCTTCACATCTTTATTTGTCCCTTCCAATTATATAAAATTTACCCCCAAAAAAATATTATACATAGTTACACGACACGTTCAGACGACTAAAAGACCGGCACGAAAAACGGTTGATAGTTAGAATGCCTTAACTTTAGTCGTTTGGACCAGTAACGAAGCTAGGTTTACGTCCAAATCTCTAACCTGCGATTTTTGCCCGAAAAAAATTGCTTTGGGGGCGGCCCCCTCTGCCCACTGCCCCCTCTGCCCACTGCCCCCTTTGGCTACGCCACTGGTCTGAACACACTAAACTGTAGCCTCTATCATGTCTACAAAAGACTAAATCATCTAAATCAAACCCGCTTCAAATAGCAGTATAAATATGGGTGTTTACGTGGTCATCTTAATTTCACTTATGAACGAATTTGAAAGTTTAAATTAAATCAATTATCTTACCGCATCGGCTTTTACCATATTTCTACAAGCAATAATAACATGACCGCCCATACGAGCTATTTCTCTGGCAGCAATGTATCCAATACCTGCAAAACAAATACATGTATACAATACGAATAAGTATGAAGTAACAACACGACGATCTTATCAATTAAAATATTCAAAGTTTCGTCCGATTCCGATCGTAACTGTCGCATTTACAAAGATAGCTTGCCAGACAGGGTAACGTACGCCCACTTCCAGCTGTCAGAAATGATACCTAAGTCGTTAGTGGCTTTGTAATGAAATTTCAAATTATCTTTAAAATATCTTAAAGTCAAGTCAAAACCTCAAAGATACCATACGCCCATCAGAATCGGTTGAAAACTGTAGCGTCAATCCTGCTCACGAACTATTTTTAACAAATTTCGACGCGTTTTAACAAAGTCAAGGTCAATAACTCAAAAACCGATCATCGAAAATATGTCAAATTCGAACTTGACCGAGATCTTATCAATCTAAAACATCACACCAAGTTTGATAAAAATCAGATGATAACTGTAGTGTCTATAAAGCTACCGATTTTGATGAAACTTGTTGTGATCATTGGAATTGGAATATGCGACTATCATTTTCTGCTTATAGACATGGAGGAATTTCTCTTGAAGGCTCTTATAGTGGGCAGAAACAATCTTGCTTGCTCGATTGCTGGTTGTATTGAATGGAACAATAAAGGGTGCCATGCCTACATTATGGTGAATATATAGTCCTATAGGTCTTGCTGTGTTCAATGTCTCAATCCAATTGGCCTCCCTAGATTGACGGAATTTGGTAGTTTCATCTTCAAGGCAAGTCAATTGGGATTAGGGTGAGATCGTCTATTGAATGGTCGTCGAGGTTGAAATGATTGGAAACAGGCTTGTCTTTCTTTAATTTGATGTCCGACCTATGAGCATTAAAACGAGTTCGTAAAGTATTCTTAGTTTCTCTTCTTTCTATTGTTTGGGGCATTTCTTGCATGAAATTAAATAGATTACATTCGAATGTTTACATATTAGTCACTTAATTTTAACAGAAAAGGTATGTTTTGGGTGAAAGGAGCTCTTGTGCAAGAGTTGATGAGTATCAGTCTCTTTGAAATACACTTTAATGTCCAGTTTATTTGTTTCTGCTATGGAATCTCACTTAAAAACAGTGGTATCGAGAAGGTCTATGCTTTTGTCTCTTACGTTTGTAGTTTGAGGCATATCCCATGTTGCAATGGAAATGAAAAGTGTTTCATATACGGCTTGATTGTGATGCTTTTTGTTGAAATTCTGCCATAGTTATTATTTGTCATATTCAAAAGGATAATTATTCAGTGATTAGCACAATTGTATTAAATAAATGGTACTTTTCTGCACCATCGGTTACATTTGACCTAAAATCAGTGGACCAATGATATATACATGATTATAATGTAGTATGGAAGCCTACTGCGTTCATATTTTCCTCGCTTTTTCTCCTTCCTCGCTATCTCGCATTTTCCTTGCCCTTTTTTTACCCTCGCTTTCTCGCGGGCGAGAAGTCTAGTTTCATCGCTTTCTCGTGGGCGAAAAGCCGAGAATAGATAAGGCTACAGTCGGCTTCCATAATATTATACCGTCTAAAATAATGTATGTCTGTTTTACCCGAAACATCTGCCTTAATTCCATCATTTATTTCAGCCCCTTTACTCTATCTGTCGGCTGGTGTAGGGCATAAAAACTAGGTCTTGTTTTATAGCGATTCTCAGCACCTCTGAAGGTGCGGTTTTTTAAACCTTTATATTTAAATCTGGTCCGCAAAACTCACAAAAACATTTTTCTTTACGAATATATCAATCCCCCCTTCCTACACCATCTGTGATTTCAATCTCTCGTCGCCGGCCTGGTGACTGTTACTGTATTGCCAAATATTTTTATTCAAAATCAAAGCAGCTAGTGGGCGTATATTAACTTGCCTGGCAAGCTATCTTATATCGATGTTGGGTGGAAAACCCAGGCAGTGCCTAGGTTTTCTGACTCTACGTCAGCCAAAGACTGTCAAAATTGCTATTAAAGATAGATGTTTCGGACTATTGAGATATGTACAAAATTGTATCACCTAGTAAATACTGTCAGACCGATATGCATCTACTGTATCACTTTTCAAAACTAAAATCTGACTTCCAATTTGATTTCATACAAAGCAACTAAAACAAAATATTAGCTGACAAAATTTAAACACTGACCTGAATTGCCACCTGTTATTAAATATGTTCTTTCTGGAGATATTTCTACTTCAGGAAATGATATTGATGAACCCATGTTGTCAATCTGTCTAGTACTGAACTCTAATAAACTATTAGCCGGTAAAACTATCAAATAAGGCAAATTCACAGCGTGGCACGAGACACGGTGTGTTGAATCTTCCGGTTATCCCGACAGATCATTTTGAGACTTGATATTTGGGACTTGAAATTCGCGTATTGAAAAGAAAGTTTGCATGACGCTGGCTGCAATGAAAAGTTTGAATGTTCTTATTAAAGGGAAAGATGCGGCATATGCATGAGTAAATCATACTTAACAGAATTTTAGTTTACTGTGATTCTTACTTTGCTTGGATTACTTAAATCAACTTATTTCTTTGGATAATTTTATATTAGGTCACGTTCCAGAACTGTCTAAAGTAAGGACATTTTCTGTCTTTGGAAGGTTGTGAAACCGGAAGTAGACGGCAGACATCAGAAATGAAAGAATCATCGATTAGCCAAAGTCAATGACCTTTGACCTTGTAAAAAAGGTCAACATACGTCAGGGTTACGAGATACAACTCATCAAATTTTCAAAATGCATATGGCTACAAAACCGGAAGCTTACGTTGGACATCAAATATGAAAGTATAAATAAATAACCAACGTCAATGACCTTTGATCCTACAAAAGTTAAGGTCAACAAAGGTCAATGTCAAATATTGAAAACATAAAAATCCTAAAACCCGTTCATTTTTTTGAACGATAAAGCTGAAACAACTGAACTTTTAAGAAAACCTGGCCAAATGAATGAGGTAATTGTGCGCAAAGTCCCTTTGTGAACAAATGTATCCTATGCGAGTTATGCCCCTGCTAAAAAATATAAACAAATAGTAATTAAATGCGGATGTGCCACGCCCACCTCATTTTTTTTTGTCATCTTTTAATTCATATTCAAAATGTCTAGTTGTGTTTCGAATTTCAAGCTTCTACACCAAATAGGTCATAAGATACACAAAAACCCAGCTCAAAGAAGCCAACATATTGTACAACGAAATTTTAACAAACCTGGAATTTCAAATTTGTATTAAAAAAAACTATTGTTATATATCACTAGAAAGAGCACGATGGGCACATCCAGAATCCACAAAAATTAGCCCTCTAAGTTAATTAGGTCACGTGCCAGCGCAGTCCAAAGTTGTCTGTTTTCGGACAGCCATAAAACTGGAAGTAGATGTGGGAGGTCAAATATAAAAATATCAGCAGATAGCCATGGTAAATGACCATAGACCCAATTATGGTCAAGGTTATCAAAGGTCAAGGTCATGAGATGTGAGCCTTCAAACTTCGAAAAAATTCCACCGGAAATTGCAAAAAGAGAGGCGTCTTTAATTTTTATGTTCTTTAATTTGACACCAAAATCATCTCAAGCGGATAAGCCGTTATCTCTGAATAGATTTTGACGCATTTCAGGAAAATCAAAATTGCGGCCAAAATATTACTTCCGGTCCGGATTTTTTTATTCTTCTTTTTTTTTGTCATAACTCTGTCTACCGATCAGCATAAATTTCGTTGATCTATTTAAATTACATCGGGAGATTAAGTTAAAATCAACTTCCTGTGTAAACGGAAAGTGAAGCCAAAAATTTGACTGTACCATTTTCTTTACTTTATTAATCTTTGCACAAAAATATTCAGGTAAATCGGACAAAAAACAAAAAAGTAGAGCGCAGCTTTTCATCCAGACACATTGACTTACCTAATTCTTAAAATGATCCACCCCATTTCTGTTAATCTAGGCTAGGCCTAAGCCTAGACTCCTCCTAGCCTAGATTGAAAGCTGAGGTCTAGGAAGATTAGATAAGAGCTATTTTTCACTTTTGTTATTAGTGTAGTCCTGGGGTTACATAGCCTATACACGTTTAGCAGAATTAATTGGCGATTTCCACATTAAATGACCTATTCTCTTCATTAAAAAATGTGAGAAAAAGTGAAATTCCTCTTCTAGACAGATCCCTGATACCGCTTTTCATTATCAAATACTTCCTGAAGTGAAATGTTCACTTGCATTTTCTCTTTGAATAGTTAGTACAGTTTTAATACCCTACCATACCTTACTATCTCCCACTCTGTTTCTTCCACTCTGTCTGCCTCCCATCCTATCTGTTACTCACTCCCACTCTGTCTCTCCCACTCTGTCTCTCTCCCACTGTCTGTCTGTCTCACTTCCACACTGTCTGTCTCACTTCCACTCTGTCTGACTGTCTCCCAAGATATCTGTCTGTCTCACTTCCACACTGTCTGTCTCTCTCCCACTCTGTCTCTCTCTGTTCTTTAGCAGGTAGGGCCTTTATCTCAGACTTCTTAATTTTAGGCAAAGTATGGTGAGACATGACAGATGCTGTGTTGGAATCTGTGACAACGATAGGCCTACTCGTTATCCCGATCGTTATGACATCAAAGATCATGTAGGCCTTAATTCTTTGAAATTCCACAGATTTCCAACAAGTGATGAGACAAAGAGGAAAACATGGGCCGCTTTAGTAAATAAAGGAAGAGTTGGGTTTATTCCAAGCAGTGGCAGTAGGTTTTGTTCTAAATCATTTTGCTAATGCACAGCCGACTGCAAGAAATCCCAATCGAACTCTTTGGTTAAGTGCAAAGGATAATAGAGATAATAAAACGTATTTTCGGAGACCATCTCCAAGGAAAAGATCATATAAATACATTGGGAGGAGCTGGAATAATCGGATGTGAGGATTATGTTAATCAGTGTATGGAAAATGACAAGATGCATTATCTTTTTGATCGGTCAAAAGACACCAAAAAAGTCAATATTGAATCAGGACTACATGGAATTAATATCACTCACCAAGTCTAAATTCATAAATGCCAACATTAAATTGCATTACATTGCTACCTAGAAAGTGTAAGACAACTAATGTCATAATTGACCATATAAATAAAATTCTTTATGAAGTGACTGCCCAGTATAAGTGCCAGTATACCAGTATATTGATTTACGGGCAAAATTCTTTGATAGAGGTCAGATTTAGCATTCCCTTTCCGAACATCAAAGTCCAATACATCTCAGTGCTTTTGGTAGACTGCAGTATTGGCTAGTGTCATCAAATGACATCTCTCAACAGGAACATCTGCAGGGGTTTACAATATATACCACCAAGGAAATCAAGCCATACACCACATACCAGTAGGTGGTAATAGTTTTTGACTGAAACATTACAACCTTTAATTATGTTTATATATTATGGGTGTTCTATTTTGTTTTACATTTACTAATATCCAATTTTAATGATGTTTAATTTCAGAATAGGTTTTTGGAATATCAGTGGTCTTCAAATGATATAGTTAGCAGACATAGTTTAGAAAAATTAGTTGATCATTTCGATACAGTCTATTTCAGCTTGGCTAATCCAAGTTCTCTTGAAAACAGACTTGCATGTATATAATTATTCCCTATCGGGATATACGGGATTTCTCTTTGCTAGGAATAGTCACTCTGATCATGGTGGTGTTGCATTTTACTTAAAAAAATCACCTACTTCAAACTCCATATGGTATATCTTTTATCAATAATCTAGATGGCGTTACTGTCTGGAGGAAATTTTGGTAGATGCTTGATCAATCTATCTTTCTGTTCCGAAATTTGTATACTAAATGGACGAACATTAGGAGATTTTCTAGACTCACCAACATGTGTACGTTATAATGGATGTAGTGTAGTTAACTATATACTTGTTTTATTTTAATCAGTTATCTCATTTAACATTATGCCATTATCTCATTTATCAGATCATAAACTGATTTATAGCGAATTTAACTTTGGTCAACCCCTTGATGAAATTAACAAAACAATAAAAAGTGCATGTTCACCGTCTCCCAAAAAAGTCTCAATGAAAACTTTTAGCTTACCAACTGTTTGTATTGAAACATTCGGGCCAATCTTTCAAGTTTGTTGATATCAACGAATTAATCAATAATTTCATTTTAACTGACTTTGACGAAACCCAAAATGGAATCGATAATGCCACTATAACATTTAGAAAAAAGCAAATTGGCTGCTTTCTAACAATCCCCAAAATAAAGTTTTACTAAAACATGCGGAAAGGAAAAAGGAATATATAAAGGTAACTAAGTTTAAGTCTAGAGAATCAAAAAGAAATATCCTAAAGAGATTGATGAGGTTAAAACAGATAATCCAAAAAAATATTGGAAAGTGGTAAATAATTTGCTAGAAATCTTTCCTAATATTGATACCAATCAAAGGCAAGGACATTTTACAAATCTATTTACTTCAATTCACTAGCCCAAAGAAAAGATTTCAAAAAGACTAAAAGAATGCACAAAATTAACGCCAAAAAATACCGAAATCAATAAACTAATTTCTGCTGCTGAATTCCGATTAGCAGTCAAAATATCAAAAAATAATAAATCTAATGACCTGACCTCATTCTCAATGAAATTATAAAAGATTCATCTGAGATTCTCATATAGACCAGTAAAATTATTTTAATTTGATCCTACTGTCTGGAAATTTCCCAGAATGCTTTTTGTCTGTAGTTCATAAAAAGGGCGATTTGATGGATCCAAATACGTATAGCCCTCACCATCTGCCTTGGAAAAACATTCCTTAGTATAAATAACCACAGGACTTCAAAATATTAGGAAGACAATGGTTTATAAGATGAATATCTTTTGTTTGCTGACGACCTTGTGTTGTTGCCTTCATCTGAACAAGCCTTAAGTTGCCAGTTAGGCAACCTTTCTGTTTCTGTTCTGATTGGCAACTTCAGATAAACAAAGAAAAGTAAAAGAATGAATCAAAAGCCTAAGTTTTAATTTAACGATAATACGATTCTTACGTATATTTGGGCATCACAATCCAAAACAACTCTAGCTTTAAGACAGCTTATCAATGTGAAACCAGGAAAGCACACAGAGCATGGTTTGCAATACGACAGAAATTATGCCATCTCGGATTTCTCCCCACGGACATTCTCTTGAAACTATACAACTGTGTAGCGAAACCTATAACGCTGTATTGGGTTAGAGGTC